CATTTTGAGCTTGGCTTGGAGATTCTGTTTCTGGAAGAATCTCTTTTCCCTCTCCTCTTCTTTGTATTTCCCCTCTCCTTACAGTAAAGATTGCATGTTTTTAACAAATGGCTTCCTCTGCAAAGAGACAGAATATATCAACCTTAATATTACGAATTCACCAAATGATAGGCATATATACATTTTAGCACGAACATCCAGTAAAAATAAATACATCTGCAGCAAACATGGTAAATTATATGTGAACTTACACTATAATAATAAACAGGAAACAGCAGCATCTGAGTCTGCAACTGGCTTCTCAGGAGGCTCTGTGCTTCCAGCTGTGGTAGCAGCTGTGGATCTGGCTCTGGAACTCTTGCTGAAACAAGCTGACAAAGGGCTGATTACAACATGGAGTTCAGTTTCTGCTTGGATTCATTTTCCTTTTAAAACACTTTGGTTGTGAAAAGTTTTCTCACTTACCCTGTTTGTGGTTTCATATCTTGCACTTCACTGTCATTGGAGTGGCGTGGTGATTATCACCATTCCTGGTGACCTCGATTGCGAGGACCTTATACTGTCTATACCATTTGTGGAACATTGCTTTTTGGTTTTGGCTTACTGGAAGAAATTGAAAACTCTCTTCCTCTTCCTTCTCCCTCCCCATCCCCAGAGGCTGTTCAGCATTTTTGTCCAAAATATTACACAGTAAAGTTGTTGGAGTTTATTTTTTTAAATTGTTCCTATATGCATAGAAAACAATTTAGGAGAAGACAAAACGATACCTGCAGCAAAATCTGTAGAACAGACAAGAGACTGGGTAAACTGCCAGGTGAAGCAAGTAGAGAACTTCTTTTTATCACTTTTTATTAAAGGGAAGAATTCTGATTTCACAGAACCTGAGTAAGCAAAACAGCATCTACCTGTGTGTTCCTAACGCAGCTGTATAGATACATTGACTTATTGCAGGTCCTTCTTTCCACCTCTGGTTGCATGAGCTCTTTTCTTGATTGCATGCTAAAGATGTATTCAAGCTACTAAAATGTCTGGCCTTGATTCAGCAAAGATTTAAGCACATTCTTAGAATTAAACACTTCTATTGCAGGGTCTGCTTTGTGAACTCCCAGACGCTTCCTTCTGCTCTCATACTGTGGACTGTCTCTGGTGCATATCCTGAGACCGAGACAGTCTTTTTCATTACAGTCTTTTTTTCTTCCAGTCCTGCCATCTTTTTTGGAAACAGCTGTGTTGTCCAACTTAATTGAATCCCCAAATTAAATCCCAGTTGCCTCTGTAACTCATTGCTTTTTCTCCTAAGGAAAAATAGATACGGTGTGCTCTTCCTTCTGTCACTGTCTTCTTCCTCCCCTCTCCTAATCCTTTCTTTCTCCTCCACTGTCAGAGAAGCAGCAGTTTCTTGTCTACTTTCCATCTGTACTCCTTCCACTTGCCCCAGTGAACCATATTCTGCTCTTCCTCTTGTTTCTTCCCTCCCTTACTCTCTTTCTTAACCTCTCACTGTCCTCTGGCTCATTTCCACTGCAATATAAGCAAGCATTTGCCTCTTAAAAATTGCGCCTTTGACCCCACTTGGTTCTCCATATCATATCTCATCGCCTATCTCTTCTTCATTCCTAAGCTCATTGAAGGCGCTGTTTATAATTACTGTCTGGAGACCCTCTTCTGTGATTCCCTCCTAGAACTCCTACACTTTGGCTTCTGTTCCTTGTTTGCAACTGCAACAGCTCTCACCAAACTCCCTGATGACAAGATCTCAGAAACAGTAGTCTATCCTCATTCTTCTTGACTTGTCAGTAGTGTTTGCTGCAGTTGACCAGACTCTTCTTTAAACTTGTGTCTTCCATTGCTTTCTGTGGCTCTGTCTTGTTAATTTTCTTTTTTCTAAGCAGTTCTTCAGCATGTTCTTCAAAATTGTCTCCCATTTTGGAAGGGTGTGGATGGAGGTCTTGGGCCTCTGCTTTGGCTGGATTCTCTTGTGCTTTCATTGCCTTGTGGGCTATTTCATGCACAAAAAAGAAAACATAAAAGCCAAAGGTATCTGTAGATAACAGATCTACATTCCTGTTGAAACCTATTTCCTCTCACCTTAGCTTACTAATTTGGAACCACACAAATGCAATTACAAAGCATCCCACCCAGCGCTGCCTTAAGTCTAGATGTCTTGGCAAATGCTCAGACCAGACACACAATTATCTTCCCTCTTTCACATAGACATGTGTATTTTCTCCTTTCATGTGCTAGGTTCTCTGTGCCTGCTAGCTGTGCCCAGCCCTTGCCTGCATCTGTTCCAGCTTGCATTGCTTTTTCTACAGGTGACTCAAATTGTTTCTCTTATTTCCAATAGGAATATAGCAAGACCTTGTCAAAGAGAATTCATATTTTATGTCCTCTGTTTAATATGCTTATCCTGATACATTTGGAGTGTGTTTTACTCTTTTACAGCCTCATATTAAGCATTTCACTTTCTTTGTCATTGCATTTCATTTTATTTGTCAACTTAGTCCCATTTCTATTGTTCCTATCCTTTTTGCATGGAATCCCAGTCCTTTTTTTTTTTTTTATTGACAGTGCCAAGAAATTTAACATTTTCACCACATCTCTACTTTTTATGCTAATTCATTAAATGAAAATATTATATATCTATATATGTTTATATATAGATATATGCCATGCTCATACTTGATGAACTCTACTGAAAAAAGGTTCTTTCATTCTCCACAGGAATTTGTTCTGTCTCTGGTAGGAAGTTCTTTAGCTGTCAAATTCTTTCAGTAATCTCTATTTTCTCCAGTTTAATACAGAGTATCAGATGCACAGATAGATTATTTCTATCATATTTTCCTGTTTAAAATGTCAGTCTAGTTGCAGTGGTGTAAGCAGGCAGAGAGTTCATAATCTCAAACAGATTTGTACATTGTAGTAGGCAGATTCCTCAGGTCACCACATACTTTCATACCCCAGCAGGCCCAGCTGAATTATGTGAGCCCAGGCGAGTTTCTGCTTGCTGGTGTGAACCACAGGGAGTATTCCCTTGTTCTCTCGGTACCTTTTGGCCTGCTTTCACTTTTGTTTGCCCTACTCAATTCCAGATGTAATTCATGCCACATTATCGCTACCAAATGCACATCTCTGGATCAAATATATGTTGCCGTGAGGAACATGTAAAGATATATATAATTAAAGGGAACGTGTGCACATACTACTGTATGTTTTGATTTACTTTGTATTTAGTATTGTTCTTGCTCGCGTCATAACAAGTGCTGTGGCTGATGTTGCAAAATAGTTTCAGCAAAAGCCTGTATATTCACTAGCTCTAGACACTGAAGTATTTTGTAAAAAGCAGTCGTTTGAGTCTCAAATTTTTCATGCTTGGTTTCATTTGAAAAAATGTGTACACATAAAAAAAATTAAGGACACTGTCCTGAATTGTTTCTGAGTTATGCGTCATTGAAAAGCAGAGCAGTGTTTAACTGTTAACAGTAGCTACTCTTTTTTTATCTTTAATGTAGATAAGGAAGTTTAGAATTTTGAAACTTAAACAGTGACATCTAAATTGGAGGTGATATTTAATGAAGTCTATGGCCAAGTTTCAAAAACCTGGTTTTCATAATGACATACAGATAATTGAAATCATGCCTAGTAGGCATCTGGACTAAAATTATGAGCAGGATGTAATGGACCCAAGCACTTTTGTGGAAACAAAATTCATTTCCATTTCTTTGTCAGGGTTAATCAAGTTCCTTTTAGGTTCAATGTTTGCTTCATTCTTACTGCTACTTCCAATGTGCCAACACTGTACCTTCATGTAAGGGATGGAATTTGTTCTATGCATTAAAATGTTGACATTTTTTTCACGATTTGTTTTCGCATCCCGGTTTCACATTCTATCAATCAGTTTCCCCTTCAACTGCAAAGAAACAATACATCCTGTACCCTACGGACCTTGACTACATACACACTGGCATCTGTTCAATCCTGTTTGCATTATACAGTGTATAATTTTACATTATGTCCTTCAGTGTTGAGGGAAGGGGAATGATGGGGGATCGAGGAAGGCTCTTGTTCTCCTATTAAGCAGTTGAGCAACCTCCCGCTGGGACTGGGGCTCTGCATGCCACTGAATCTATTGTAAATCCCTCTACAGCCACACTTACTTTGATTTTGAATGGCTGTTTCTGGTTAGTTTAATCCTATTCCTAATCAATTTAAGATAAACAATTAGAAGTTTAATTGGAATTTCATGGCTCTTAATCATCATTAGAAAAAAGAAATTTAAACCAAATTCTATGCTAGCACAGCATTAAGACTGAACAATGGAGGCTCGGTTGTGGCTTTCAGTTTTTGTGCTTTGTGAAGCCAATAGCTGCTGAGAGACACAGTCTGGCTTCTCAGTTTCTTCTTGTCCCAAGACACACCTAAACTACAGCTTGCAATGGAACTATAATTCTTCTGGGGCACAGGGACAGAAATGCCAGTACAGGCACAGAGGGTGAAAGCTGCTCCATTCACCACAATTTGAATCACTTATGAGATGTAGGGTTGGGGGAGGTGTTAGAAGTTGCCTATGTCCATGTGTTGCTCTCTATGATCTAGGTAGCTGGCACAAGGAAGGAAATGGTATCTTCCTCTGAATACCTTGTGTGGGCCAGGCAGGGCAAAACTTGAGCTGGCTATTGTGACTTCAGAAGGAGATACCAAGAAAAATTGAAATCTACTGCAGCAACGTTAGCTTGGCTGCGTTGCCACTCCTTTACAACTTGTGAAATACATTGAGCGTAAGTAAAGCTATAAATACCTGTTCTGTGATTTAAAAATAAAATTGATAAACCTGCTGTTTTCATCTGATGTAATTTTAACCTTTCATTCAACTATTTAGTCTACATTGAATGCCTTAAATATTCAGAATTATGTTTAACCTTTTTTTTTAATGTAACATGGATGGATACAGATATGCATATATAAACCAGAAGTATCTCTGTGTGTTCTTTTTATTGTAGGTATGTGTCATGTGCTTTGGGATGTCCGTATGAAGGAAACATCATACCAGCTAAAGTGGCAGAAGTAAGAGTGAACTTCTGGCTTCTCTTTTTAATGAATCAAAAGTACATTTGAAAATGTCTATAACTAATGTTCTCTACTTAATCCTAAAAAGATATTTAATGGGTGAAATTTAAAGAAAACAAACACAAAACATAGCCAATACTAACTGGATGCATGTCTACACTCAACCATATGCAGTCAAATTTAAGAAAAATAGTATGTTTTGATTGTTATCAGTCATGAGGAAAAATATTATGTGCTATTTCCTCCAACAAGAAGGTAAGGAAATGCGTAAGGAAATAGACTCCAGCACATATGCCATGGACCATGTTGTATGAGATGATTTCCAGCAGAACCTCTTGCAAAGGGTATCTGCTTTTAAATCCGTTTTATGCTGGCATAAGCATACTGCGCTTTCAGCCGCAAGAGCCACTGCGACAACTGCTCCTGAGTGAGTGTTGTATGATTGACACACGAACCAAAACTCATCCCCAACATGACTTCCTACTCCTTAACTCGCTCTGCTGCTCTGATGGAATAAGTTGTACCTTCCTCCCTGCCCTCTTTTCCCATTCAGGATAAAGGAGAAGAAAGACGATGTCTTAGACCAACCTTTTTTCCCAGCAGAGAAAGAGATGAGTGAAACACAAGTGTTAAATTTTGCAGGAAGACGGGGCCATGAAAGCTGAAAGGGCTGATAGAGAAGAAAATGGAGAGAATTCGAGAGGCGCAAGGCAGAACACGCTGGCCTTCCTCCTGGAGAAAGACTTGTCTTCTCTATTACACTTAATCACCTACTTTTGGTGATCTAGCAGAATCTCCAAACCACTTTTTTTTTTTTACTTTGTAGCTCTAGCAGCCAGTCAACATTTATCTGACATACTACTGTGTTCTGCGTGTGTGGCTTTCAGGTCCTGTTGTCCTGCATCTTCTTCTAGTATACGTTCCAGATGGAACTTGTGATAATACTTCTCCCACAGCAGCCACATATACTTGCGCTCTCTGAAAAAAATAGCTAAATTGGAAGGTACTCAGTATTTCTAAATTAATTTGGTTTAATATGAAGTGAAAGTTAGAAGTGACACAGCTTTGGTTAGAGCAGCGATGACAGATTCAGCTGTGCTGTTGGTAAATTGCTTACTGCAATCTCGTGTTCCCCTACAGGCTTCTTTCCATGTGTTGCTTGGTTTTTAACCACTCTCCTTGTGCAGAAGAGCTCCTTTTCAGTTTGCTGGTGGGAGTGCTACTTCATGTTCCAAACCTGCAAACTTTTACTCACGCAGATATTTTATCTTCTGTCTTCATCCTGATAAGTGTCATCTTGTGTACCTGTACACCATTGTGTATGTGTTTAAGAATAAAAGCTGCCTCATTAACGTTACCGAGGCCCTGATTCAGCGAGCGCTGGTCTTTATATAGAAGCATCTGATTAGCTGTTAATGGATTTTACATAAACACATGCAGTCATCCTTTGCTGAATCAGAATTATGAAAGTTACTGGCCGCGTTGCTAAGCCCTTTCAGAGAGCTGCCTCTTTGGTCATCATCTTTCTCAGGATGGGAGCGTGTGACTCCCTTGACTGTGACAATCAGAGCTATGATTGAAAGATTTAGGCTGTTTCTTTTGCGGTTAATGACAGTGACCAATTTGTTTTGTTTTTAAACAAAATACTTTTTAACTGAAGCAAAACCAATTAGGAGAGGTGACTGGTTAACCAGACTGCATGTATTTCTGGCTTACTAGGTACAAAACTGTTGTACACATCGTTATCTAGTGAGCGCAAACTTCAGATGCCTTCAGACTTCTAGAATCCATCTGGTACATCCATCTGGTTCTTTATTAAAAAAAACCCCACATTTCTGATCTATTAAAATGAACTGCATAGTCCTTTTTGATCACTCTGCTCTTTCTTGAAATGGAGATACTGTTTAACCATTTATCATCCTGTGGTTTGTGAATTTCAACCTTAGGCAAAGAAGGCTTGACAGTTGTTGGAAGCACTGTATAACATCCCTGAAGCCAGTTGTGTTATCCATTGTCTTCCAGTCATATTCTTGGCTGTGTTCATGTTTCTGCCTGCTTCTTTCTCTCCTTAGCTTCCTTTTAACCTGGAATAGTGAATTCATGTAAGTATTATCAAGCACACAGGCTGATGAGGCTACAGAAAATGTGTCTGTTACTCTTTAAATACTATTGGATTGTCACAAAGTTTCCCGTACAGCAAGAGGACTGGCAGTGGTTTTTATGTTGTTATTTGCTTACAATCATCTGTAACATGATTTTGACCTTTTGCATTCAGTTTAAAAGTATAGTTTTAGGCATTATTTCCAGCCGTTGGATTGTTCACATGCCTAAGGGGTTGCAGTGTTGGGTCACCAGCTCCCGTTTTGATCAATGCTTGGTGTCACGGCAACACTCCCAAGGGGAGTAGCACAAGACTCATACATAGTAAAACTGCTCAGTGGTGCAGAACACAACCCTGTTCAATCAACAAAGCTGCAACCTCGTAATCACATTCTGATTACACTGACAAAACAGTGTGTTCTCTTCTCCCCCGCCCTCCTCCCAAAAATTCACATTGAAAACCTACAAAACTATAACTAATGGGCTGCCTCCTACTGTGGTAGGACAGAAAATCCAGTATGAAAAAATCTCGTTCCACTTCCAAGCATGCACATTCTTCTTGAAATTAAATGTAGATCTCTTTTTAAGGGTCAGTTTAAGGTTAGATCATGACAAGTCAGTGATGATGCTCAGCTTGCTAGAGTTTCCCCCTCTCTCCTTTCATCTTTCAGAACTTTATTTTCAGAAGCTGAAAGACCTGAGTATGGGAAAGAAGTGAAAGCAACATGATTTCTAGCACTTTATATAGTCTCTTCACCATCACTAAAATGCTCATCTAGAAAAACTTTGAATCATAAATGAAAAAGAACATGAGAAAAAAATGCAATCTGCTTCATTTACCCTGATCTTAAACGAAAACTGAAGTTCAGGGATTAACTAGAGGTAATCTGCCACTAACTGCAGATGATTTTTTTTTCTTCTTGCAACAGTAGTCTGGTTAAAACACCTGCCCTGTGTTCATGATATAAAAATATGCTGCAGGATAGAATCCTTTTTGCAATCTGGTGTATGTCCTTTTCGTAAAGCGTATGTTGAACTTAGGTTGATGGGAACCAGAGGCTCTTTGACTTTAAAGCACGAAGGGTTTTACTACCTTTGCAATAGTCATAGCACTTCGAGCTTTAAGCAGAATGATTCTAACTACTTGAAGTTCTTTTTCAGCTGTTCTTTGAATTAGGCAAACAGCAATATTAATCCAGCACTTCCGAGACTGCTGGTGCAGCACTTTGTCAGCTTCCTCAGACATTAACAGCAATCCCACTGATGAAGTCCTAGAATTGCTTTAACAGCAGAGTGCAGTGCAACTGAAGATGTCTTGGAAAAGGGTCATATTTTTTTCATTTCTAAACAGTTAATTTCCAGATTGGGATTCCGTTCCAGTGGAGTGGCCTTTCGGGATCGCTGATACACAGTGGGTAATGCTAAAGGAGACAAACATACTCAGCAACTGAAAATAAGGTGAAACCTTTTCCAAATAAATTCAACAAAACTAAGATGGAAAGATGCTACATTCAATTTCTAAAGCAATATTTTTGGTGCAAACATAATTTTGTGCTTCCAAGCATATGTCTCTATACAAACATTATGAAGCCAGACCTCAAGTCTCTTACTCATACAAAGAACTCCTCAAAGACATAATTCCAGAAACACTTAGGGCTCTACTTACTTAATTGAAAAATATTTGTATGGGGTTTTGTTTGGTATTAAGAAAAAATTTAAATCTTAAAGACTAGAATGTTAATTAAGTTACAGTTTTGCTTTGCTAATATTGTAATGTTTGATTTCATGAAAAGCAAGAAAAATTAATGAACTACATCATGTTAAAACTTCAGTTTTCATTGATGTTTTCAGTGCCAATAGAAAGCAAAATCAGGATTTTTTTTATTGTCTTATTTTAGCCATGTGCTTGGCTCTGTGTAATAAGCAAACAAAAGGCCAGGTCTTTACCCTGCACAACTTGTAAGCTGAAAAGTACATGGAGAAAACCAAACAGCTGGGAAATCCCTAGAGAGAGGAACACGTTGGGAAAGGGCTTGACAGAAACTTAATTCATAGTGCAAGATCTTGCTTGTTTGGACTCTGTGGGAGAGTGAAAAAGCAAGTTTTTGATGGATTTGGCTTGGTTGGTTATTCCATGTACGGAAGCACAAGTATAAATTTAAAAAAAGAGGATCTATGGGACGTTCTTCTTGGGTGACAATTTTCAAGACTGAATAAAGGGTTTCTGATACATAGGTCCACCTCCATGGGTCAAAACCTGAAACCTCTACAGAAGTGTGTCCTTTTTAATGTGCGTTCTTGACCCTATTTTATATTCTCTCATCTTGACCTTTTCATGTTTCTCTGTTTCTAATCAGGTGTCTAAACGGCTGTACAGTATGGGCTGTTATGAAATCTCTCTGGGGGACACAATTGGTGTGGGGACTCCTGGAAGTATGAAGAGAATGTTGGAAGCTGTTATGAAAGAAATTCCTCTGAGTGCTCTTGCTGTTCACTGTCATGACACGTATGGCCAGGCATTAGCCAATATCCTCACCGCCATACAGGTAACTCAGATTCTCATTTTATAGATATGACAGTAGTACTCCTAGTTTAATTCAAATGCACAATTTTAAAAAATCCCACCTTTAAAGTAGTTACTAGAGAAGGAAAGAGGCACTCACTAAACTTTCAGAAAGTATTGATCACGCATTGGGTTGTCTGCAGCTAGTACTGTTGTTGCTTTTGCAAGAAAATTTCAGTTCTTATCTACTTATTACCTTCAATTCTACACAAAATCACTAAGAAATGGTGGTGATTATTATATTCCATTGATTTTTGATGAATGAGGGAGATAAAATACAATTTTTTTCTGCTGTCTCAGATTCTGCTTTTCTTAGGAACATCTATATATTCATTGTTCACTAAAGTAAAATTTCTATTTTACAGATGTGTCTAAATATAAAAGAGAATAATGCATAACTACATCTTGATTTCAGATGGATAAATCTAAATTATTGGTAATTATGTACACAGATTGGTCTAGATAATTTTATCACTGTTAATATGCCTTCAGTATGCTTTTTTGTTTATCACTTATACCTTCCAAATCAGATTATCAACAACTTTATATTCTATTTAATCTTTTTTCATATCTGTGGCTAAATAATCAGAAATAGTTCCTTTACAGAGGAGATATTTTGCCTTTTGTGTTTACATATTATAAGAATAGGATACAATACAAGAAAGAGATTACAAGTTCTAATGTATTTTTTGCAAAGGTATAATTTTGAAAAATATCTTAATGTGTACTTACGTCCTAAATACACCTAGTTTTATTAAATGTTACAGAATCAAAAGCTGTTTACAAATCATAGGCCTTTATTATTCTATTTTATACTTAATGGCATCTTCTGCTTCCTTGCAATTCAGTTGGCCATTTTTAAGCTCAACTTTCCTTTGTCCTGACTTGTTTTTTTGGCAGGGCTCATATTATGTTGTTTAGAGATTACAGCAGTGCGTTAACAGTATTAGTGATATAAGCAACCAGAAGAAACAGGGAAATGTTTCAATATGGGAATCTCTGCAGGTATTTGATTAAATAGTGAATGACAAAATCTGGTAAAAAAGGTTCTAACTTTTACTCACAGTGCTCGCTATTGACCCTTACTCTCTTACACTCTTGCAAATGTGTGCGTATGTACCATGGGATAGATAAATTGCTAATTTCACAGTTAGCTTCAGTTGCAGATGTAAAAGCTAAAAGCATGAAAACCCCTGAGCATGGGAGGAGTTCGCCATAAAAATACTTCAAGTGTTGTTTTTCAAATCCTTCCTTAAAGTAATTGCTGTCATGGTACCTACTAAACACTGAAGGATGGCTATGCTTTGTTAACCCCAGTAGTTGTTGTAAGTGATTCTTGTTTCAGGTTTACCTCCCACTCCTACTTTTTTATTTACTGCTTAAATCAACTGTGTAAGAGTTAAAGGGGAAAAAAGCTCTTAGGTGCCTAATGTGTGGTTCAGGCTAATTAACATGTAAATTCAAGAGAGCAATAGACCTAAAAAAATAATCCCTGTGCAGCCTTCTCGGATTTCTGGGAAGCCCTGGGTGCCCGAGACCCACCAGAAAACTTCCCACTGTGCTCATGTCCCGCTGCAGTGCATGTCTAAAGGTGCGGTGTTTTTGGCTGAGCTGAGCTTGTCATGGATTTTGCCAAAAGTCCTTGATAAAGCAGGCATTACACAGTCTCTCTGACTGGCTTTGTGGAAGCAGCTCCTTGGCTCACTCCAAAGGCAGGTTCCCAGGCACTTGGATCCTCAAACCGGGCCCGCAGGTCACAGCATCCTCTCCTGATCAAAGAAATGAGGCAGATAGCGGTGAATTACAGCTAAGCAATATTCTTCCTAAAACAGGACAGCTTTTACAGGTCAACCAGGTGGTAAAGTGCCAAAGCCAGCAGATCAGAGTGCCCGGGTCACTTCTAGCCCCCGCTGTCAGGCTCATCGGTGCTTTCCTCTCTGCCAAAGATACACGGGATGGCAAAGTACTGGAGTTAAACCCCTTGTCTTCAACTCAGCCCTTCTTTTCATAGACCAGACTCCCCACAGACACAGTTCCTCACCCTTCCTCCTTTATGGGGCCATGCGACCGACACAATATTTCATCAGGAGTGAAATGTGTTTGAGGGCTTATAGAAATAATGGGCTACGGTTCTCGTTTGAAAAGCATTTTAAAGAACATTCAGCAGGCAAATTACACTTTTCCTAAGGCATTCCAGACTACGACCTCAGGCCGAGTACTATTGTATTGTATATTGTATTTCCTAAGAATTAATGAATGACAGCTGGAAAGCCACAAATCACTCTGCACTAATTCAGGCGTTGCTTCGATGGGAGATCTCATAGGAGTGGAAAGAGGTGCTGGTGATTCAGTAAGTGATTTTTTATACAGATCACATTGTTCCATGCAGGATTATACTACCCAGAATATTTTCTTTTGTTTGGGGCTGATCCAAAGTCATCTAGAACTGACAGGCTGTATCTGTATAAGAAATTAGCAGGGAAGTAGTCTTGTAATTTTAGTATTCGGTTTTATGTGTGTTGTTTTAGCAAAAGGATAGGTAGTGAAAGATGGGAGAGAGATTAGCCAACTTTTAAAGGGTAAGTAATTTTTTAAGTTGTTGAAGTGAATACCCTAGATAGAAAGCATTTCCTAGAGAAAGGTAATTCACTCTCTTTTATGAAGAGCATCTGTGTAAAAATTTGAGGAACATGAAATGATGCTTTGGAACAAAACAGTAGACATTTAAAGGAGAAACATGACTGGTTCTCAGTTAAATGGTTTAATATAAAAATATTAGAGTCTATAATTTACCAAAGAGACAAATTCAGAAGATGGGCAGTGATGTGGCAATCTAGTTAGAGGTTGTGGTATTTTGAGTAAAATTACATATGTGGGTTCACTAATGTGACAAACGCAAAATGTACCTAAAAGAAGTAGTAAAACATTTATAGGAAATTGTTACAGACCTCCAAGGAAGGGTAAAAAGATGGTTTAGGAGAATTCTGTGCTAGAGGCCCCAATAAGGTAGACCATTGATCTGTGGAGATTTGATTTACCTTGACAACTGACTCTCGTAGTGCATATAGAACAGGTAAGAAAGGGGACGTTTTTTAATGACAGTGATACAGAATTCTTTTCTTGTGTAGCGTGTGTAGCTGCCAGAAATAGCTTTGTTTTCATAGCGCATATCCAAACATGAGAAAGAACATACTAAGAGGCAAAGAGGAGTTTTGGCCGGCAATGATACCTCAATGAATGAAACAATCGCATGGTAATCCCATAGAACTTTATCAAATCCAAATCACTATTGTAATTCATTCATATAAACTGATCCCTACACTACTGGGATTAAATCTTAACTTAGAGAAAACAAGCATAAAACTCTAAGGACTTACAGGGAGCAAGGATTTTTACCACCTTGTGTAATCATTTCCACTTTATTGGACACAATGAGATGAATGAGATTGATGATTTGCCAAATGAAATTACTTTTTATTAGTGCTTTCTTTTTCCAGAAAACAGGAGTTTTGAAATAAAATCCACACTTTAATACCAGAAACAGAATTTAGCAAACCTCTAATTAAACTTTCAAGGTTCAGACCGCAAAAGTCAGATTTGTGAATACAGGTTTTTGTTACAAACATTATAATATATCCCCTTACAGAGAGTTTAAAATATTTAATAATATTTCATTTATGTCTTTAAGATCCTTGAATTTTAAAGATTAAATAAACTTTTTTTTTTTTAATCCAAATAGAAATGGCTGACTGCTGACCTCTTCCCTTCATCACTTAATTGAATAGATTCTAGCCCCTTTGATGCATGCTGGAGAGACTAACTTGCATGTTTTTGTGGATCCAGTTTACTTGCATAGTAAGGACTAGGTTCACACAAAGGTGCTCGGTGTTGATATGGCAAAGTTTTAAGTGCCGGAACCAGGAGAGGACTCTGAATGTAGATGCTGAATCTCATGGTTTATTAATTCACAAGGATCAATTGTGTTACAGGAATAGAGTTCACAACAGCCAGCAGCCTGAAATGGTAGAGCCTAAGTTAAGCAACTGAAAAAAGACTATATTTAAAATTCCCTCCTCCATGATTCACGTAAGCTTACATGTGAAGCCTTAGGTGAGATGAATTTTCCACCTAAAACCAGCTCCTAGATGTAAGTACCTAGCTTGTCTTTTTGTTTTTTCAAATACAGAGTTTGCTGTTGGTGGCTGTTGAGCTTTCTTGTAGTGGCAGGAGTCTCCCAAGTCCCCTTAGATGGTGGTGAGAGGCCAGCCCGCTGCTCCACACAGTCAAGTCTTTAGACAAAGGCCTAGAAACCAATATCTTGAGCTTTCAGGGTGACTCTGGGTGGCAGGTAGCGGAGCGGTGAGCTGGGAGGTACGGCAGCTGTGAGAGTGAGCGGATCTCATGCGCTTTGGTTCCGGAGCTCAGCGGCAGGCTATCTTGCAGAGAAGCGAGATATTGCTGCTCAGTTAAATCCAGAAAGCGTTTCCTGGTGTCTGGGTGTACACAAAACCCTAACAGTTCTGCACTGGGAACTCTGTTAGGTCAAAAAAAAAGTCCAGAAATCAGCCTGAGGATCGATGTCTGTGTCTGACAGAACTTAAACATCTCTTTTAGATGCCAGACTACTTTTGGTGCCATTCTCAAGTTCTCAGACGTGTATTTCTGTGACTAACTGACCTAAAAGAATATACTCACATGATAAATTTCCAAATAAATACAGAATCTGTAAGAATATTTCTGTGCTAGAAAATTCACTTAACATTTATATCCTGCAGTCAGTTCTTTCGTCTTTGATTTGTCCAGGTTATTTTAGCAGATGTCTACAAGGATGCAGGGCTCATGCTGGCTTATCCCAGTGAATGACTAGTAGGTACAGCTAGAAGCTGTGAGAGTAGCTGAATGGAACAGAGAAGTGCTAAAAAATGGTAGAATAGCATGAAGATATGGAGAGCAATGGTGGGGGACCGAATGGGAAGACGGCAA